CTCTGCTTCACCTGCTCGCCTGCTGACATTACCGCGGGTCGATTAGCACGGTCAGAAGCGGCACGCCACAACACCTACCTCCCCTCTCCTACCTCCCCTCTCACAACTTCCTCTCACTTCTTCCTCTCCCCTCTCCTTCCTCTCCTTCCTCTCCCCTCTCCTTCCTCTACTCTCTCCCTCTTCCTCTTACCCCTTCCTTTCCCCTCTCCCCTCTCCCTCACTGCTTCCTATCCCCTCTCCTCTCTCTCTCTTCCTCTTACTTCCTTTCCCCTCTCCCCTCTCCCCCACTGCTTCCTATCCCCTCTCCTCTCTCCCTCTTCCTCTTCCCCTTCCTTTCCCCTCTCCCCTCTCCCTTTCACTCATACCCCTTCCTCTCCCCTCTCCGATGACGCTATACCCAGTCCAATAGAATGTTTAAAGCGTGTATATATATTTGCATATACTCTTATATATACACATACATGTACAAACAGACAGACATAGTTGGATAGATAGACACAGACACACATGCAGATATACAGATAGATAGATGGAAAGATGAATATATATGTAGATATAGATATGTAGATATAGATATGAAAAGATAGATGATTGAAAAATAGATGCGTAAGTGTATTACGTACATCTATTGTATATATATGCCCTCGCGAGTGTATGTGCACACACACACACACACACACACACACACACACACACACACACACACACACACACACACACACACACACACACACACACACACACACACACTCACACAAACGTCCCCTTAAAAGAAAATAATGAAACTAGATTTTAACAACTTGTTCTCACTAACAAGTTAGTCGCCACAAAACGTGACCAGAACACGTTAACGAGGGTACTCATTCGCGAACGCAGCTCGCTAGGATATCATCAGATATAGTGTCTTTATACATGCACCAATTTTACTGCAATATTCCCAAAATTTTCGAGCTCGAACGCTGCAACAATGACATCGCACTTGTACCCAACACCACAGTACGGACAATTATGTGTCGTCTCTCCCCTTCGGACCTTGATACCATTAGGAAAAGATCGTTAAGCCAGTCTTTGTGTTATTAGGGGCCTAGACGGGTGTATGTGTGTGATCCCCGGCCTAACATACAGTAATGTAACTTAACCTAACCCAATAGAACCCAACGTAATGTAATTTAATCTAATTTAACCTTATTTAATATTTCATTTCATCTCATCTTAACTCAACTCAGCTCACTCAATCCAACTCAACGCAAATCAACTCATTTCAGTGCAATTCAAGTCAACTCAACCCTATTCAACCCAACTTTGCTCAACCCAACTCAAACTAAATCAACCCAACTCGAGACCGGGGAACTTCGGTTTGGACTTTTGACCCAAACACTGCTTTGCCAATCACGTACTACACTGAACCTTTAGTCCCTTCTACACCATCACTAAAGCTGAGAATCCGCCATTGTCTGCAGTGATGGCAACTCGCAGAACCAAGCCAACAGTAATCCAAGTGTTGGCAGAGGAGGCGAAAAGGAGGCGGCAAAGACAGCGATCGATCCTTTTGCTTCACTACAGGCTGGTGGCATTCCTATAACCAGCATCTAAAATACACTGCGTATGCTTCTCCCCTCTTCCCCCCTTCCCCCTCTCTGTCTCTCAAGCCTTCGAGTAGCGCCAAGCACCGCTTTTGTCATCACAGGCTTAGTGAAGTCACCACCACACAACGGCATTAAAGAGACATGTTTAGTACACTGGGATTCCCAAGTGGGCAGTGAAAGGACCACAGCGGGGTTGTTCTCGAATTCTTATGGACCATAATACACAAAAACAAAAACAACCGGTGTAGGCAGGTACACAGCAGGTACATGTAAACACACATGCATATGTTCACATACACACGTGCGCATCATCATTATCATTATCATATTATAGATAATTTTTCTCGGTAGGGTGCCCGGTTCCTTTCCGACCCGACTGTGACTTCAATATGCTAATGTCGGTGCTCGTCGTAAGCATACACTTATACAGATACATATGTACGGTCATACGTACATGCATAACACATAAACGAGGAAATGCATACGTAAACACACACGCACGCTCAAGTAAATACGTAAACACACATATACCCGCAAGCACACACATAAACACACATTCACGCCTAAGTACACATATAAACGGCCATAAGTACATATATAAACGCTCAAGTACATACATCAACACATACACGATCATAAATACACACATAAACACACATACACGATAATAAATACACACATAAACACACATACACGATAATAAATACACACATAAACACACATACACGCACAAGAACATACATAAACACACCCAGAAACAAACATACACACAAAAAAAATACACATACACAAAAAAAGTAAATTCTACTTACAGAGGCTGACGGCAACTGTATAGCAGGATGTGCTTGGGCAGAACACCCAGCCGGCCTTCTCAGTGCTGCCAGGGGTTTGCGAGTAGCAGAACCAGGCCTTAG